GTTCAATAATTTTTTTTGGAAAAAAAAAACTTAAATAATTGTGAGTGAGAAATCCAATCATCGTAATTAGGATGGTAATAAATATTTTATCCATTAAGATATATTGATAGATTCATAATGACAATACTATGTGTATATATTCAATTTTTAAATGATGCAATATAGTTTTTCATTGTTATATAGTTAGATGATTAAACCAAAATGAGAATTAAACTAATCCATTCATAAATTTATGAAGATTTTACAAAATAATTAAGAAAACAAATATTATTAACTTAAGTTTCGGTTGATTTGAACTTGTACTATAAAAAGAAGGGAAAAATCAAAGAAAATCAACACATCATATTTAAATTGTAATACAAAGAATGAAAAGCAAAACAAAGAAAAGAAAATGTTGTCTTTTTATGTTATTTTTTCTAATTCTGTCGCGTGGAGAAGATCCGATCAAGTGATGTTTTTTCTTTTCTAAGGAAAATAAATAAAATAAAAAGAGACTTCAAAACAGGATCCATCCAATTCTCGACAAACTTTTATTAGCCTCATTTAAAAGAGAAATCTTCAGTTTTGTTTTTTAGAGAATGGATTGGCAATAAAGTCATCCATTTCTCTTTAAAAATTGGGTAAATTGCGAAATTGATCTCCTCTAATTTAGTGTACTTTCAATGTAGTTTTCTAATTTATGATTTGATCAAACCTCACCTTAAATATTAAAACTTGTTCTAATATTCTCCCATTGAAGTTTTTTTTCTCTCTTAAATTTGTCGACACACTTATATTTTAAATTTTAAGTTAAAATATTATTTTGATTCACCGTCTCTAAATGTTCATTTTGATCTTTTTTACTTTCAACTTTTGATTTGTTTTAGTTTATGTACTTTTAAAAGGATCGTTTTAGACATTATACTTTTAAAAAATGACTATTTTATAGTCTTCTAGTTTTATTTTTAATCTTATTTTTTCTATCACAGAGTTTCACCATGTCGGTACATTGGATATACTCTTGAAATGTAAAATGGTTTTATGTAAAAGGATTCCATTATGTATAGAATTTGTGATAAAATTTTGCAAATAAGGACCAAATTAAAATGGTCATTTTTTAAGAGTACAAGATCAAAATAAACACTACAATTACAGAGACTAAAATGAACTAAATGGAAGTACAACGACCAAAATAGTATTTTAACCTAAAATTTAACTAGGATCTCAATTTTTTAATGAAAGAACTGAAATGAAAAACCGACTTAAGAACAATAAAAATATAAATAAAATTTTGGTTAAAAATACTTTTTTGTTACTTTCATGAATGTTTAAGTTATGAAATAAAGTCTATATTGTATACTAAGGTTCGGAGAAGGCCTAATTTTCTTAATTAAAAATCCATGGACAAAATGGAAAGAGCTAGTTTTTTTTCCCTCTCTTTTTGCAAAAGCCATTACTCTAGCTAGGAAATATCACATCAAGTGTAATGTGTGGTTCAATGTATCTGATTTAAGATCCTAGTGAATCAATTATTATTTCTTTTAACTTACTCTATGAATTCCCTTAATTTTATAAAAGTATAATCTTTATGCATATCCCTCTTCTCCATAAAAAAATTAAAACAAAAGAAAAGCATAAGGTGAAGTTTTATGTGTGTTCCATGTGAACATCCACACATCAAGGGTTATATTCCTTGGAGTTGGTCTTTTTCAAAGCTCAATTTTAGCATGTTTCATAGAAAAACATGCAATTTGATCAGTTTCTTCCCACTTTTTTTCCTTTAAAGAAAAAACCCATTTCCAATATTCAAAAAGCACCCTTTAGACTTTAATTTTCCACATAAACAAAACAAAACAAATGAAAATTTGTTGATAATGAAAAGACTTATATATTATAGAACATGAAGAAGTTGTAGAATGAATCAAAGTATACGTTTTTGGAAGTTTTTTTTTTTCTTTTTTAAGTCAAAGCTATATATATAGTTGATGACGAGTCCAACAATAATTCCCATTTAGAAGATCAAATTTGAGTGTGTTGGAAAGATATGGCACTAACTTAATTATTAGAATTTCTTTTGTTTTTTGTTTTAATTAAAACATTCGAGAGTGAAGTGCATATATAAGGTTCAATGAATTTTGCTTGGGATATGTATAAAGAAGAAAGGTATTATTAAATATTTTATGATTTGGAGATTTAAATTCAAATTGATATGAAACGGTGTTTAAAACATGTGGGTGGCTAGGCCAAGCCTAATATTGAAGAAGTAAAAATTTTGAAAAGAAAAGAAAGGGAGAATTTTTATTCTTTGGAAGACCCAATCAAAATCAAGAACAAAAACCCTAAAATAAAAAACAAAAGTTGTCAAAAACGACATAGTTTGGTTGTGTTCCATTCCATTCCACATGAAGTTGAAACATTAATAAGAGTCAAAAAGTCATAGATTAGAATTTTTAGATGCACGTGGGTTGCCCATCGTTTCCCCCGGGCAGCCTCTTGCCCTGCCCCTTAATTTTTCCAAATACTATTTCATTAATTTTGACTTCATATTTCTCCAATCTTTCCCATTGTTAGGAAAAAAATGTGCTGCATGCTATATGCTTAAAAAAGAAAAAAAGAAACTATATATATTGTTTACGATGGTGAAGGCAGCTATTATGGAGTTAGAATATAAGTAGTTTCATCCTAATTTCTTTTAGGAATTATGAAATGAATAAATAAAACATGTTTCATATAATCTTTTAATTTTATTTTTTTCTAAAAATTAGAAAAGAAAGAGTGATAGGAAAAAGTATATGTTAAGAAAATATCAACATAAGTACACAACTAATTTAGGTATATATCCATGATTAAAAGGTCGAAAATTAGAATTTCTACCCAACATGTTATTGAACTAAATAAAAAAAAATGCAAATAGAAATGAACAAATATATATATACATATATATTTATACAACAAATCATTGGAAAAAAGTTCAAAATTTTATTACAATCCTTGAACTTTTATGTCTATTTCATATATGGATCTTTAAAACTTTTCAAACTTCTTACAAAATACATCTTTGGTTTATTTCCTTGATTAATAGATGCTTATATGAGCTAGTGTTTAAAAGCAAACAGGTTAGAATTAGGTATTAGGTTTTCGAATAAATTATTAAGTTCTTATAATCTTATTAAATAATTAATGAATAGTTAAGGATAAGAAGTAAAATAATCTTTAAACAAAGCCTAAAGACTACGACGGAATATTTACCAAAATGAGAGATGAAAATAAAATATTTGAAAAGTTGAGGACAAAATTATATGATTTAAACTTTATATATATATATATATATATTTTTTTTTTCTTTTGCAAGTATTAGAAATACACACTAATGTTTTACCCACGGATGATGGAGAGCAAAATTACTTACTAATAATTTAGAATTTCTAAGAACTTTGTATTCCCTTAGTTCTATTTGGTTATTTTTTAAGAATATATCATTATTATAGATGCAAGTGTAGAATTTTGAATTTACTTTAAACTATGCACGAGTGGGCTATTTGATCACTTGATTTAGTAAACATCATTAATGATTTTGTATCTTGATGTGTTAAAGATTTTTTCGGTGTCAACGTTGACAAAATTTTACCTATGGTGTGACAGAAATAAAGAAAATCATTAACATATGGAATATGTGAAATTATACAAAATTTGACCTAAAGTTTAATCCATGATCAAAAGTAGGGGTGGATTCATAAATCATAATAAAGATTTGGTTCATTGGCTTTCATGTTTGTCTATACAAGTCTTAATGCCTACTTAATTTCGATTTCATCCAATTGACTCTAAATTTAAAAAAGTGTTACAATTTTTATTCTCTATTTAATTTTTATTTATTCACCCCCTAATACTAATAGGAAAAAAAAATAAAAGTTAAAAACTTCAAAAACTCAATAATTTAATGAAAATAAAATTTTGTGCAAAATTAAGTTCGGTATATGCACAAAATCGACTAACTTTGGAAAAACAAATAAAGTAAAAAAAAAACAACTCAATTATAATTTTGTCTCAATACTGTTAATTTCGTACCAAATAGTACATATTTTTCAATTCATTAGACACATACTTTTTTCAAGAAACTTCCAAAGGAAAATTCAGAGGATAAACCTTTAAATTAAAGTGAAAATTGCAACACTTATCCAAGTTTAAACTACAACTTATCAAGTTCATGATTGGATTAATCAATATTCTATTATTCTTGTTTTAGTTTTTTCTTTAATATATATAAAAAGTAATTTCAAATTTCAAGTCAAAATTTTAAAATTAATTATATAAAAAAAGAAATTTAATTTAACGCCATTAGGAAAAAAACACTAAATATTTGAAGTTTCCTTCCATTTTTAATTTTTATTATATTTATATAAATAATCAGCATACTTTTTTAGTATTTATACTCAAACAAAAAGAATATATATATATATATATAATAGTTTATTTTAATTTAGCTTTTTAATCAATATTATATTTTTGTTATAAAAAAGTAATCAATATCACTTAATCTCAATGTCTTATATCATTACATCTAAGATTATATACATAATCCGGCACTCGGAGTTCTGCACATTGAATTGTTATGTGATAATGAAAACCACTGGTTTTTTGTCCGACACGATAATATTTAGGTTAAAATACTTTATATTTTTAACTTTTGGTTCATTTTGATCGCATACTTTCGAAATGTTCCGTCCTTATTCCTGAAAATGAAAAACCAGAAAAATACATATTTCCGAGCAGCCTCGTTCGTTCAAAATTCAAATGAAGCCAAAACAAATACTTTTTTTAAAAAAAAAAAAAGTTCAAGCCAAAACAAATACTTGACATGGCTATAAATTAGTACCTGCAGAAATAACGTCACTTAGCCACAAATTAATACCTTGTTACAAATCTCCATAAAAGGATTTATTTTACTGCCTATCCAAGTTTAAAGTTCGATGGTGTAAAACTAAAACTTAATAAAAATCGACTCACCCAAAAAAAAAATAATAATCATTGTGGCAATTTCTGAACTTCTTCTCTCACCATTTTCATATTTCATGTTGTTGAATGATTAAAACGTTTAATTCAACAACCAACTTACAATTGTGTGCTGGAAACTGTGGACGAAAGGGGGGAGAGATTCAAAGTATTGACAACAAGCATTCCACTTGAAACAGAGCCACAAATGTTGTTACTACACTGCAGAATTGATGGGCGAGAGGGGTTCTATCTCCTCATCAGTAGAACCACAGTGTGAGCGGCAATGCTTCTGTTTTCGCCAAGGCTGTCGACTTTCTCGTGCGTTTTTGCCTTCAGATTCACGACACATGGGTCGGCTCCCAGAAGCTCGGACAGGTTTGTTCTGATGGCTTCCTTGTGAGGGCTAAGCTTTGGTCTTTGAAGTATCAATGTGGCATCCAAGTTTCCTATGTCATAACCTGCCTCATGCATCAGTCTCACCTGGATGGAATCAGCCAAAAAATAGCACCAAAGATATCACATCATCTATTAGATAATGGAACTTTTTAGGCTAAAATGAACAGAAATTGAACTAATGTATTTCCACTTCGGTTAACTAGATGAATTCATGCGCCTCAAATTTGTGTAGGAGAGGCGTGTTGTTTCACATATGGAAAGATTATGTTTTTTGACTAACCTAACTTACCCGCTTTACTTTTGACTTTAGTTGTACTTTAATATGCTATTAGAACAGGAAGTCCGAAAGTTCACACACCAACAATGTTATTTTCTTCCATGTGTAGGACCTTATGTTTGTATTTAACCCCACTAATATATTGAAAATTTCAAACTTACCAACTTACATTTTTAAATTTTTTTATGATTTAACAAATATCGAAGAACTCCTAGATATGGTGTAAGTGGGATAGACTCTTACTATTGATTAACTACATAAGAAGACTCCTTGAAAATTTTTTACCCACAATCTTAATAAACTTGAATCTATGAAGCCTAAAGTTGGGAAGCTTGGGTTCATGTAATTTGTATAAGTTAGCTTGTAGAATGAGAGATGGGTCTCATAAGCAACATGGGTTAAAGTAGCCCATGAGATTAGGACACTCTTAATTTGTGATAAGCAAATCCACGTACCGAATGTAATCTTGATATCTTAACTCGGGATAACACAAACCTACCCCAAATAGGTAATAAAGGAAGAGGCAGAATGGTTTGCCTCTGCAATCAATTCTCACCTCCTGTCCTAGCCCATGGCCACATAATACTGGATCCCTAACAAAGACAATCTAGGAAGCAGAAACTTTCTGATTTTGGCCTAGCGTTCATGTCCAAGGTATAATATGCTCCAAAATGCATCCAACACTTATAGTGTCTAATATTATTTATATTTTTGTTACGACCTTAGCTAGCAGATATATTCTTCGAGAGAACCTCCTGCAATAGTGTCAAGAAAATATCCTTGACATGACTAGTTAATCCATGGATCCTCGCAAAATTTTATATGCGTGCATTGAACCTAGCATAGGCCCATATTTCTCWGAAAGACTCTCGACCCTTTTAAAAGTTTTCTTATTGCTGTCGAAGGAAATGTTCGGTAAGGAAGAAAAAAAAAAGAAAGAAGAGTAGCACACACCAAAGGCCCTCCTTGTCTAGGATTGGTGGGTGAAACAACACCAAACCTTAGCCATATTACTAGCAAAAATTTTCTACAAGCCTAAATTTCATTTGAAAATCTTGAAATCCGAACGATGATGAGCAACATCATGCTTCCTAAGGTTACTAAGAGCATCAACCCCATTTTCGTCCAGGAAGCCCCATTCATGTTTAGAATTTCTTTTCCCATTGTTTGAATTGCCAATGGTGTGGTGCCCACAAAATGATATCCAGGATTCTTTTACTCAAAGTGTTGTTGGGAGACAGTTTCAACAGGAAAGCAAAGGTTCTCTGGATTCTTATGGTGTATGATGTTCAGTAAGAATTTTGATACAAAGAAATGTATGTATTTCTGAAGGGAAGAAGTATAAAGGAGATCCAAGATATAAGACGAGCCACTTTGTTCAAAGATTCAGCTTCTCTTCTCTTTTGGTAGAAACGTCAATTGGAAAACCTTTTAGTAGTTCCTTTTGGTTTCACAGAGTTTATTATACTCCCCTGTTTGTTTATAACTTCCCTTCTCTCAGTAATAGTCTTTGATTCTACTTAACAATGAAAGATATTTAACACAACAGAGTTGAAAGATTGTGCTAAGCTGATTTTTAAATACTTAACTGAGATGCTTACATTCCCCACCCCAACCAACATCACTTCATTCAGGTACTACCACATGACTTGTTGCAGTCTTTATCCTCTCTAGGTAATTAGAAAATGAAGCCATATAGAGGAACCATTAAATTTTATAATGGTACAAATAGAGGGAAAAAAAATAGAGGAACCATTAAATGGTATTATGGCACAAATAGGGATCGAACAAATATACAAGTGAACTAGTGAAGGATGCAATATAATTGAAGCTGAGGATGAGGACTATCTTTGAAGTTTTCAACTTCAAGTGAGTTTGAGATGACTTTTGAAAAAATACTTTTGAGTGAAAGCACTTCTTTTATAAGAAGCACTAATCTAAGTTCTTTCTCCTAAAAGCACTCAATGTTTTTTTTAGTATTTGTATAATTTATTAAATTACTTTGATGATCTAGCCAGATATTATGAAATTTTCAAAATCACCCTTAGTACACTTGGATGATACAATGAATATAATGTTTTTACTTATTAGATAAGCACAAAGTGTACCCACCAACAAAATACAGCGTAGACACAATTTATCGAGATTCATAAAAATTGGCACAACTACTACTTCCCTCCTGAGTAAGAACTCGATGCAACCCACATAAAATAAAATTCATTTAACAAAGCAAATAGTATTCTTATATGACATCATATACACATCAAAGAAACAGATAACAATCTCAGAACATCCAGTATAAAAGCAATAACAGAATCTTGGATCATCTGTACACCGACCAAGTGCAAGAACTCCAACATGTCTATGAGAGCGATCCACTTAAAACCAATTGACTCAAGGAAGACATGATTCATACATTTTTCACCTAGCAAAAGTTAGTAAGCGTAAGAATATAGTTACGGCGCGTAACTTACAGCTTCTTTAATAAAAACAGATGATGGAGCACCCTTCCATTTGGGATCTGAATCTGGAAAGATCTGTCCAATGTCAGGAAGCCCCAAAGCACCCAAAATTGCATCAACCACGCAGTGAAGTAGAACATCCCCTAAAATGAACAATCCGAAAAAGAATCAAACTACTCTTCAAAATTTGACGAGGAATTCAGAACACTTTTATATTGAAAGAATAGACTCAGAAACCAAAATTTTGATCATTTGACAATAAGGTTACTTCTTAAGATGGAATCTCCATTCAATTGGGCATGTGCAGGCACTTGGCTTAAATGACTATATCCCCTTCACTCCAAAAGATGCAAAATCTCTCAGACAATAGTAGACTATAAAAACAGTGAAATCCAAGTCCCAACACCAACATTAGGACAAAACACCCAATGATGTCATATCTAGGGGCAGAAGAAAATTAAGATGTTAAAGTTTTCCCTCTTGTTTACCTCAATACTAAAAAAAATTTTAAAAATTATATATATAAAAAGTCAAAATGAATTTTAAATTTGTAGCTCTGAGTCTCTGACCCTGGTCATTACTGCAATCAACAACGGCCAATTAAGCCCTAGTAGAGCACTCTGACTGTGCAATGATTAATAATCTAGGGAAAAAGAACAACAAAACTGAGCGAATTATTCAAAGAATCAAAACAACCACACAACAAAGTTCATAGCAAAAGGGACAAATTAAACAACCCTGAAGTGGGGTAAGAGCAATTACCATCAGAATGAGCCTCGCAGCCTCTCTCGTGGGGAATATTAATTCCCCCAATAATCAAAGGATATCCAGGCTCCAGCCTATGAAGATCGAACCCATGTCCAACCCGAAACGGAAGGGCTTTAGACCGAGAATCGGATGCCGCGGCGGGACCAGATTGGAGGGCGGTGGTGGGCTCCGCAGCTGCGGCGGAGGTGACCCGGATGGCCGGTGGCGAAGAGGAGGATGAAAGAGCGAACTTTCTTCTGGGGAAGGTACGGGGAAACATGGAAAGGGAAAGGGATTGGTGGGAGGGAGTGGCGGCGGCGGTGGCCGGAGAGGCGAAGAAGGGGGCGGGCACAGCCATGGAAACTGGAAACGGCAAAGGGAAGAGCTGTGTGGAGTGGAGCTCGGCTGTGTTGTCTCTGCGGTTGACTCGTGTTGGCGCGCTGTAGTCCCGTGGGCTTCAAAAAACATGAAACACGCCTTCCTCTTCATTACATTGCCTTTTTTAGCATAGATCACTCAAAAAATAAAATAATAATAATAATAAATAGAAATTAGGTTTAAAAAATATATATATATATTTTTTGGTATATTTTCGATTTTGTTCACTTTGATTTCTATATTTTTTAAAAGTTTTTTTTCCTTGTATTTAAAAAAAATGATTACTTTAATCCTTTAATTATATTGTTTTATCTCATTTTTCCGATTATGATTTAAATATGACACTACACTCAATATATTTTTTAAAATATAGTCGTACTTTTAAATGATTTTTCGTTTTGTATAAAATTTTTGTTAAAATTTTGTAAATAAAAACAAAAATTCACTTTTTAAAAACATGGCAAAAATGAACATTTTAAAACTTTAGTGACTAAAACGAACAAAAGTTTATCTAGATCAAAATAACATCTTAAAAGTAGAGAGACTAAAATTAAAAGTATAAGGACGAAAATAGTATTTTAACATAAAAAAAAAAATGCTAAAGGTTGAAGGTTCAAAATCCTTCCGATATAAATTTAAAAAAAAAAATTCATTTGAGCGACCTGTGTGATTCCAATATATATGAACGTCTACTACTCATTGTTAAAAGCAAAATAAAGATGAGAATGAAAGTGAATAATTTTTTTTCTTTTTAAGTTAAATGACCAAAACAGAGTAAACCTAAAAATTTAATGACAAGAAATAGTAAAATCTTAAAAGTTTGTCAGATCATAAAATGAAATTTAAGCCGAAAAAAAAAAATATGATTACGATCTTAAATACATTCAAAAGCAATGCATGTAGTGCTACATTCTTAAAAAGAATTTTGCCGTTAAATTTTGATGATGGTGTCTATTTAATTCATAAACTTTAAAAATTTTCAATTAATCAATAAACTTGAAATTTTGATGGGATGTGAAAGCAAACCAAAAGACTCAACACTAACACAGTTGGCATGTTGACGTCATATTAAATGGAAGGTATTAGAAAAAATAGTAGATATTAGTTCATCTTGGTAAAATAATAATAAATAATAGATTATGTAAAATACCCTATGAATTATAATCAAACTCTGTTCGTGGAAATGAAACGCAAGTTTTAGTTACTTTCTATAAAATTAAAACTTTCCTTTGGTGGAAGGGCCGCAATCGGGCCCAAAGGCCTTCTTCGTAGGAGTTGAATTACACGTTAGGAGATAATGGGAAGAGATAGCAAAGCCCATGGGCCGGAATCCAATAGCCCATTTCACAAAATTTATGAAATTGTACCTTTTTCTTATAGCATTGTAAAACCATCCATTTTTATATTAAAGCTAATTTTTTGATATATAATCGCATAATAATATATATATTCGCCAACATGAATGTAATCGAAGAGTTAAAGACATCGACTCATTCTTCAGAGGTAAGAAGTTTTTGTTGATCTTTTTGTAAATAAACATGACACTAGAACAGTTAAGAAAACTATTTAATTCCATTATTTAAAATAGTTCCTGTAACGTTAGATCAAACATCTAACCACTCTTCTCAATTCAATTCTTTTGCTACAACAAATATACTCATTTATAGCATTTGTTTACTGTGTTTTCTCATTAAAATACACCTACAAAAAATGGAATTGTTGAAGAATATTACCAATAGGAATTAACATTTTTTTTAGGCAAATATTAATTTTTTTTATATTCCAATATCTAAAATTACTGGCAAACAATCCTTCTAAATTTAAGTTTACATATATATATCATACAAGTTGAAGTAATCCGTATCAATAGGCGTAAATTTTTATATAGTTAAAGAAAAGAAACGTCCCCTTCAATATGAATATAAATTAAATGTCAAATAACATCATTTAAAATACTTACACAGAAAGAAACAATATATGAAAGAAGCCAAATGAAGACCATTTCAAACCCACCGTTTGTCCCAAGTTGCCCATTCCGCGTGTGAAAATACCACACCCCTTCAAAATTCTCTATTAACGTCACTCCCTAATGGCCCATACTATATGAATTATGCAACCCTACACAATAAAAATTATATTATAATATGATTCTGAGTGCCAATTTGGTCCCAAATTCTTCCCTTTTCATCTTTAT